TGTAGCTCGCAGTTTTTAGCGGAGAGTTCCTCAGCGAGCTCCATGAGGACTAGCGTGGAAGGGAACTTGGTGGTCATCGCCTTCCTTGCAGGGACTCGTTGGACTGGTTGTCCGTGTAGCCCCGGATAGCGACCCGAGAAGTCTTCTTAGCGTCGCTGTCCGGCACCCACAAGCGGACGCCAACCAGCGTAGCGAGCAACTCTAGCACAGCGATGACCTTCCCGGGGTCGCACAGCTCACCCGCTGGCCGCTGGACCTTAGCATCAATCCAGGCGGCCGGACAGACGGCTTAGCCGCCACGGTCCGCGCCTGGCTCCCTGCTTGCCACCGGGTAAAAGGAGGGCTCTCTCCAGCGCCTTTCCCCTTGCTTCCAATCCCTCCAAACCAGCCAGATTTCCGTGCCACGAACCAGCTTCGGGTGGGTGTGCCTGGCTAAGGCAAAGCGGCAAGCGGCGGCAATCCTTCCTCAACGAGCACATCCTTCCTGGTAAATGCGCCGATAAATGGAAATTCAAAGCCCCCCCGTCTGCGAGCATAGCGGGAGCATTGGAGGTCCGTGCATGCTGCAATATAGGAGTTGGGTGCAAGGTCGCACTCGGCAGGTCTCTCAAACACAGGCGGGATATGCTGCACTTCCAGCCCTCTGCTCCAGTGAATAAGGCACCCGACTCGGTCGCCCGCCTCGTAGAGCTTCCGCAGCCGAGCTCGCCAGTCAAGGAAAGCAGGTGTGGCCAGGGTCTGCCTAAAGGTATGATAGCCGAAACCTTCAACAAGGTTCGGATCATGATCCATTCTGCGGGCACCACGCAAACAGGTTCAACTCCTGAGGCTGTCACAAACAAATCTGCCGAAATGGCTCAAATGCCAAAGCTTGAACCAAAAGGCAGGATGAACGATAACAAATGATTCATGTGCACGCAACCCTGCCAAACTCGACACATGTTGGTAATAGATATGCAGCATGTAATTGAATCTAGCGTCGCCCGTTTTTCACAAATGTGTCCATATGTATTTTGATTGTTCTTACAGGTGCTTTCACATATGCCTGTCTAGGCCCACCGCTGGTGGCAAGGCTCAAGAACCGTCTTTGGATTGCAGAAATATATGAACATGTGTGCAATGTTGCCGATGTTCCCCAAGATGAGTAAGCAGGCATGCACAGAAATACATACAGGAGATATATGTAGGCATTCAACAATACTGTTACATGCACCAGCTGTGATTCCGTATATACATGATAATTTGTTCATGTGTGTAGACTGATTCGTTCATGTGTGTAGACATCGACAATTCCACTAGTAATTATTATTCACGAGTGTATGCACATTTTTTCAAAGTTTCCGCATGTGCAAGCATGTGCAGGGTTCTCAGTACTCGCCACAGGCAGACAGGTAGACGCATAGATACATATACCGGCCTTTTCATACATCTTGTTTCACCTGTAAAACTATGCTTTCTGTTTGGAAAAAAACATCGCGCAGCGAACGCAAAAGTGCTAAGATCTCAAGATATGCTGTGTATTCAGTATTTTTTCCATTGTGTCGTGTTAGTAATGCTTATTTGTTTGGGTTTTGCCGTAGGAACATTTTTCGCAAGTACAGTCTTATCCACCATGTGCCTGTTACACACCTGTAGCAACAATAGCAGCAATAGTGACAAAACGGCAAGATAAGACACATCCCTTGGTGCATGTGGTCTTCACAAATCAATGAAACTCCATCATATACCAGTATAGAATCCGCTCTATAAGGGCAGACATCAGCAGATCCGCCTGCAAGGCCGCGGTAGCGGTGCGCGGCTGTGGGCGCGACAGTGTGCGGCTGTGCGGCCGTGCGGCGGCGCGTGCAGATACCCACACAGGTAACCCACACAGGTACCCACACAGAATGTGCGACGACGGTGGCGGGGACGCGGGCGCGACGACGACGTTCGGCGGTGCGGCGGCGCGCGTACATACGTATGCATAGTCAAAGCATATGTCTGTATATACTTATACATATACATACACGAAGAAGCACAAAAACACACACACACACACACACACGCACGCGAGCACGCACACACACACACACACAATACACGTACACTAGTAAACACATCGTTTCAATCTTCAAACCCCGAAAGGGCTTGTTGGTCCTTTTTGGTGGTCTCTAAGTAGTCCTCCACCACGTCCACAAGGCCGTCTTGAACATGCAAGCTAAAGCGGATCTGGTCCTGAATCGACAGCTGTCGGCAAGAGTGCGGCCCGCCAGACTCTACACGGGAATTGCGGCTGTCCCGCACCACGTAGCCGTATTTGTCCCACTCCTGTTCTTTCGTTAACGGGTAGTGCCAACCATCTGCCTCGCGACAGGAATCAACGGCGTTGCCGGTTCGTGCAATGTCTGAATGCCTGTTGTCTCGTGCCTTTTGTACATCTGTCAGAGTCAAGTTCAGGTCATTGTACTTGCCGAAACTTGCTGGCCTTAGTCGCTACGGGCACGGCAACAGTGGACGGACTCTCTACCATGCAGGAAGAATGCTTCGGCATCACATCGGTCTTCCCACGTCCTGCCATGGCAGCATGTAGACAAAGGAGCAGAACACGAGTGCCCTCAAAAGACCAGCCTGTCCACGACTGGCTCCACTCTTCACTTGAGCCGAACATGGTGCCACCAACGAGCACGCAGCACAGTTTCGTGTTACGCAAATCTTCAAATTATGGTTCGGACACGCACATGCAAAGCGAGCACGGTCTTCTTCTGATTCTGCATCTCTTCAATGCGTGCTCGTTGTCTATCCAAGTGAGAGGGCACTCTCTACAGGTCAGCAAGATGCACGATTACGATACCCGTCTTTGCAATATGCAGTTGTAACCTATGTTTCTTGTTCGGAAGAGCCGCAGAAAGCTTTCGCTCAACAGTGCATGGTTCCATTCAAGATTCCAGGACAGGCCTGCCACAAGCAAAAGATAAGTTTAAACAGAATGCCATGCTCGAAATGCACTGAGCATCCAACTTCCAGCCGAGCAAGAACATGTTGTCGTACCTCTACGACAAGCACTCAGCAATCTTTGCATCCAAGTCCAAGAGAGTGGGTGCGCGTAGTGTCTGAGTTGGGGTCGAGGCATGAAGCTACCATAGCAGCTAGCCTGTTGTTAAACAATATGGGAGCATGCAGACTCAAGTGTGAATCGTTGACTGGGCCCGAACATTCTAGTCCAGGACCTGAATCGCAGCAAGCTCCACACCCTCACTGAAGCCAGCAGCCTGACACGATACTATCGATCGTGGGCCAGTGGAGGCAGCGCGCGAGAGATCGAGACGGAGAGGGAGAGCCACAAGTTGAAGGGAAGCTCTTCGGTGCCCTTGAGTGATCGGGCACGCTTTGTTGTTCCATTCGAACTTCTTGCGCGAAAAGGCTAGTCCTGTGCAGAGGCACAACCTGTAAGCCCTAGGACAGCGCGGAAGTTTGCTTCCGGCTCCATATCCTACCAGACAACCAGCCAGCAGACCACACGGTGCATGCAGAGACTTGGAAAAATTGTTCACAACCTCAATCGGTGCAATGCAATGGTTTGTCCTTAGAAGGTAGGCTATCTGCAGCAAGACGATGAAAGACGATCAATTGTTTCGGTAGTTTCAGGGCTGAAGCCGTGGACTGCGGACTTCTTTGTGTTTTCTGAACTGCACACATACAATTTCGGGAATACCGAAGCACCATCTGATTGCATCGTCTGAGACAGCAGACGAAGTTTAAAGCCGGGTCCTCCTTTCGGCTTCAGTTCCCGTGGATTATTGGAAACCCACTGGCCAAGCTTCGACCTGCGAGGGATAGTGCAATGCAGTACGTGCCACTCAAAAAAATGATTCCGAGCATTGAGCGCGTTGTACACCGCTGGTGTAAACCAAGCGCCGTCCTTCTCACTTCTGGAATCCACTGCAAAGACTCATGTACTGGCAGCAAGCTCTCATGATACAGCAGCTCGCGGAATTCGTTCAGTGGCGGCTGCAGGCAAGCATTCACAACCTTGCATGCTCAAGGTTCTGAAGACAAAGCTGGTAACCGGCTCAATACCCAGCCAGCCTCGGACCCTGCATCTATGGGGACGTCGATGCATGTGACTACGACTTGCGGCCTCGGCCGGCGAACACCGACCCAGCAGCTCGCTGATTGATAGCGACAGCACGAAGACGGCGCGTGCTTGCTCCGAGGTTGCTTGGCACAGGTCCCAAGATGTAACCGGGTCTTTTGCTTCCTTGTCCAGTCCCAAATGGCTTCATTACAGCCACGGCATGCGTGAACTCGAGGAGTTTCAGCTGCTTCCTGAGCAACCCTCAAGGGAAGCCGAGTGATGGAAGGACTCTTGCTTCCGAAGCTGTTGTCCGAATATGTCCGAATGAACGATGGATGCAACAGCTGGACCGGCACGAAGGGATTCAGGCAGTTCTGCCCGGGCTGTTCCCGGGTTGTCGGCTCGTGCTTGCTGAATCCGTGTTGTACAACATTTGTCGGCCGCACGGCTTCCGCCTCGGGGGCCTTGGGAAGTAATGTCCTTCAGGTGCCCTGAGCCGTAGTCGCCGGCGAGTTTGGAGAGCTGACAATGGAGACAATGCTGGGTGAGCGCAGTTATATCACGTTCACATCCGCCCATTTAACATCCAGCGGGCGGTGCAAGCATCGACGTCATGATCGTCCGCACGTCGATCCACACCGGGGTGCAGGCATGTCTGCCCTCATTCGGCGCGCGGCCTCCCACACCGCCTTTCATGTGTGTTGTATTTTTGTCATCCCATGTTGCAACGAGTTCAAAAGCAAATGACGTACCGAATGCAGGCAAAGCAGACCTTTTGTATGTCGTTGCGTGTGGGGCCATTCCTCGGTTTGCTCGCTCTAGCCACTATGCTGCATGCACGGGTGCATCGCTCCGAGGGAAAAACCCGATGTCCATCTCCCTTCCGAAGCACCCTCTTGTGACAATCACCAGAGGCACACCATCTTGCAGGGATTGTCCTGCAAATAAAGCTTGGAAGCGGAGCGATGGCAGTTGATGGCAGACTGCAGTCCTAGAGTCTGCACTGGCGTTGGCGTTTCCACCGGAAGGAAGGCTTTCGACAACTGGAAGGTGCGAAGCCTAGGTTTCATGAAAGGCTGCGATGACTATGTCAAACGCCTGACTTGAGCTGCAGAGATCGAGGGTGGTGCAAAGCTGCCAAGTGCACGCCACTGACCTTTCAAGCACTGAAGATTCTGGATGACACGTGCCAGTTCCAGAATCCTTCGTGTGTCCGACACCTGTCTAAGACAAGGGCATAGATGCCCTTGAAGACACCGCTTGCATCTACACCGCCAGCCACTATGTCACATTGCCCAGATCCATCCTCCATCTGTGATGCATATCTCAGCTCATGAACACAATCTCGCTGTACGAGTAGCTGTCATACAAGTCATCCGACCCACGTCTGCATGAATTTGGATCAAGCTTGCTGCTCGTTACAACATGCTCGAAAGCGCCACACGCCTCTAGCCATGGCTGCACGCGCTTCAAAGGTGGTGGTGCTAGTCCACCTCGAAGACCTCGTAAAACGACGGCTGGACACGAAACAGAAAACACTCTCTGTTCCAAGGTAGCGGCCTGAGGAAACTTCGACGCCCGCGCCAGCGCCACCTCCTCGCCGTGGAGCCATCCTGCCACCGAGAAACGACCGACGCCTTTGGGAGCCTGAGAGTTTTTTCCATGCATCTCACAGCACCTGCAACAATGCAGCGGCACGGCCCCGGCTGGCCCATTTGGCTAAGAAACCAATGCAGAGCCGATGCCAATGCAGCGCATTTCATCCATCGGCTGATATCGGCTGCTGATCAAGCGCATGCATGCAGCTTGAATCGAGGCAAGGCCAAAGCTAAAGTCCGACTGCCGCCGCCTTGACGAGATCTTCGTGATGTTACAGGTGTTGACAGTATTCTCGGTCAATTGGCATCGATGCTCTTTGACGCCTTTCTGGTTACAAGGGTTCGACATGGTTCAAAGGTCTCCCCTCAAACTCAGACAGTCTGGCACAAGCGCGGGACTTCATCAAAGAGGCGAAGAACTAAAAACGCCTCACCAAGCACGTAGATTCGCGAAAAAACGAAAGATTCACCGCGTCGCCCCATGCCCCTACAACTCTCATTTCACCGAAGCTCAACCGCTCGCAGTTTCGAAGGGATTGTTAAGGATGTCCGAACTTAGGGTTCAGACATCGAGCCTAACTTACAGCTCACTATGGCCCCCTTGCATGCCCTACAGTTTTTAGATGTCTATGCTCCTCAACCACTTGGAGCACCAAGAGAGTTCATACTACATCCTGAGGCCCTGACATGCATAGCTCCAAAGCCCCTAAACCCTGAATCATCATGAAGCCTCAACCGCTAAACCTCCCTCAGCGATGGGGGAGGGCTATGGCGATCTAAGTGTGTGGATTCAAACTAGGCTTGCAAAGGGCTTTCGCTGTATGCTCTCTCCCTGGACGAAGGATAAGTGGCACACAGGATGACAATGAGAGAAGTGGTGAAGAGATCGCCACACACGTGCCATCCTTTCTTTCGCTCACACAGTGGCCGTGGTGGTACCCCGATTTCGAGATTCTGCACCGTGAGCTCTCTGCGGATCCTCGGAGTCCTGGGCAGCAGTGGGCGGGTAGTTTGTATCAGTTGATGGTGGCGAGAGAAATCTGAGGCAGCAACTCCATTTGCTTCCAGGACCTTGTTCCTGGACAATTCCTGCACTGAGCAGAGGCTCAACTCCTAGCCTCCTAGACAGGCCCGATTAGCTGAACTTCATACTCAGTTGTTCTGTTGAGCACTTATAGGCAAAGATGTCAAAGACGATGTTTATGAAGTGAGCATCTGCTAACAACTGCAAAACAACGGGACGGCCCTCCGCAGCCTCTCCGGCAACGGGGCGTGTGCTTAACAGCAAGTGATTGCTGAGCTCCCACATCTAAGAGTAGCCCAGCACGCCTTTTCCACACCCTTGTCCGCTTCCACGGCACCAGTGACATAAAAGCACCTCGGGCATGTGATGCTACACTGCCAGAGTCAGCGAGCAGAGCAGCTCCGAATGCATGCTGGGCTGAGGCATGCTGAGGCACTTGATGAGTGCTAAACCGGGCAACAATGTGCCCAATCCGACAGTCAAGCCCCACCTGCCGTGTGCGTGAAGCTGTCTGAAAGCTCGCATGCCAACAGCAACTATGTCGGAAAGGCTGGACGGAGTCAGGCAGGGCTTCCGACCTGCTCTGAAGCGAACATCTAAAATCTTCAAAAAAGCTAACAAGAAGAATTGTGACTTGCCGGTGCCTTGGAGCACCACCCATACCGCCTGCTCCTGCTCCACCCACCCCTCGCAGGTGATGTCGAAGCGACCGTGAAGGTACACGTGCCAGAGCCTGGGTACAGACTGCCGGGCGATGAAGCTCACTTGACCAAACTATGACCGTGCCCTTAGCACCGTGCTGCGCGCTTGAGCATCCGATGCACCTGGTGCAAATGCAACAAGCGCTGTTTGCTTTCGGGTTCACTGGGCCGCCAGGTGGCCTTCCGCGCACGCAGGAGCGAACTCCAGGCAGAGTGATGGCAGGAATGGTCTCAAAGACTGTCACTGGTTTTGTTGGTTGGAACTTGACTGCGAATTACATCTACATGCTCCTCAGCATGTACCAATGCAGCCTCCTTTAAATGTTGTTTAGGGCCAAAAGACTTCAAGATCACACTGGCAACGGAACTTCTCAGTCCCATCGCAAGCAACGTGTGCAGCACACTCTCTCACACACAATCACAAGCACAGCACCTTTCTGGCTCAAACAGCACAGCATGCTGCGTGTCATCTTGTGCCGGTACCTGGCCGAAGCTTGTGGAGCCGAGCATGGAAGCGAAAGGAGCACATGCTCGTAAGCTGGGCCGTTGGCCTCAAGACTTGCTTGTAGCTCCTCGACCGAAGTACATGTAGACTCCATGGACTTGCACTCGGATCACAACACTGCCTTCAGCCATTCCTTCGATTTGCGGCGATCGAAACTTCTACGGCGCACCTGTACAACCTCCATGTGGCAATGACGAGCTGCTGCGTACTTACTCAGCTACAAGTCCCTTTGTGCAGGCCTGAAACTTCGTGCCTGGCATTGATCGAGGCGCCAAACGAGGAACAGAATCGGAAGCGAAAAAATGAGACAAAAACGCAGCCGCAACCTGCCAGGAGGCGGAAGGCAATGCTGAGACCTTCAAAGCAAAGAACCTTGAACCATGGTTGCTGTCAATTGTCAGCCGTTGCATGAGTTGGCCACCGTCGAAATCCATTGCCTGTCATGAGACGGAGGTGTAGCAGTGGTATTCTTCGGGAAGCAGAACATGCAGGATAGAAAGCTTAGCATAACTGGAAGGTCATGTCACGTTAGTTTGCCAACCGCATCACAAGCGGCCCCTCCTGTGCAAAGGCAAAACACCTGCCAGCAGTTCCCAATACAGGTGGGTTGTATCGTCACGTCTCTGGTGAGGACGGCTGCGAGACTGAGGCCTTGAAAGCAGCCGCAGGTTCATGACTACCCCATAAAGCACCAAAGAATGCATCGAGCGCGGAGTCTCAGAGCAGCACGGCCTTGGATCCAGGCCTCAGGTGTGCCAGAGCATAAGTTTGGCAGTCCACTCATTATACGATCGTAGATCAGCCAAAGAGCACCACGACCATGACAAGCACGACGATCAGGACCAAAACCACGACATTACGACGAGGAGACCACAAGACCCCAAAAAGACCATCAAGGAACCACCGGAGACAAACGGGGGAATCCTGCAGACCACCAAGACACCAGCAGGAGAAACACAAGATCCCAGTAGAGCATCCAAAAGCAATCAGGACACCACCGGCAGACCACATGAGAGCCAACATGCTTTGCCCCATAGAAGTTGCAGTAAGAGACAATTAAAAAGAAGTAGTGCAAATGCACTGGTGCTCAAACACGCTTTTGCAAGCTTGAGCCATTGCGTTCGGTTGAAGCGGTCGCTCGGTCTGCTGCACATGTTCGGGTGCCAGGTCTACACTGTACATGACGGAAGTGCTGTTTCCACACTCCTATTATTTTTCTGGCACCGAACTGGTAATATGAAGTTTCACGAAGCTGAGTGCGGCTTTTCCGCTCTTCATCAAGTCATCAATCTGTGCACTCTTCATCCGCTTCGTGAGCCCGTCTGCGATCATCGTCGCAGTGTCGATCCACCTTGTTGTTGTCGTTGCTGTTTGCGGTGGAGCATCTGCAAGCATTGGGTCTCCCACATCTTCTCCAGGTAGTCGCCAAATCAGCTGTCTCAAGGCACTCAGGTCTATAGCGAGACGTTTATCCCCCACGGTATGTAGGCCTGGTTGGCGAAGGTGCTGTTCCAGACTCTTGCAATCTGTGAAGAGAACCACTTTTCTGGCATCCATAGCTCGTACAAGATCTGGCTTGTCTCCACCATGTTCCAATCCATACAGTACCGCACGTAAATGCTCTGCATTTTCGTATCCAAGCACCATGCTCAGCGTTTCTGCTTGGAGTGTCGATCGACACACTCGTCTGATGACCGAGCTGTGATACTCCAGGACATGTACTGTCCCCTCGCCGGTAGTCTCCAAGGTGCTTGGTCCCACCATAAGAATCCTCCCTGACTGGGAGCGGTTCCCAAGAGGCTCCCCATTCTTGCCGATGTCGTAGTCGGCGCCGTGGCTGGCGTCCGTGATGCTGTAGATAGTCATGTCATTGACATCGAAGGCCTCATACTTGAAGAACATGCCCTTGTCAGGTGTCTTCTTCACATAGTTCAGGATCTGGTTGCAATTGATGAGGTCCTCCACCAACGCCTTCTGCATCACTGCTTGCAATCGATGAACTTCATAGGCAATGTCCAATCTGCAAACTCGCACCAACCAGTTCAGGCTTCCAACCACACTCCTCAGCTGGTTCCTCTCTTGTTCTGTCACGTCGTGGTCCCGCTGCTTTCTCCTTGCTGAGTCGATGTATATCGGACGTACTTTTGCAGCGTTGTGGGGACATGTGACTGCGATTCCAAGTTCGCCTTGCTCCACTGTTCTGCCACAGTACCAAACTCCAACGCCCCAAACTTGAATTCCTTGATGATCTCGTCCATAACAGCATCCATGGCCGATGTCCCACTCCAGAGTAGGTCATCTACATGAGCAATAACGAGACCTTGAATTCCAGCTTGGGCATCTTGGAGGATGTATGATGCATGCTCCCCAGGTACCGCTCGGAGGCCCCTGGACAGGGCTACACGATGCAGCCTTTTCCAGAATCCCCGGGGTGCGTCCTTTGTGCCGTACACGGGCTTGCGTGCTCGTAGTAGAGATCCCGGTGGTACTCCAGGCAACCCTCCAGGTGGAGGTCGTAGTACAAGTGTACGAGTGATCACGTCGCCTTGGAGGAAGGAGGCAGTAATGTCTCCTCCGCGTAGTCGCCACTTCTTGTTGGCCGTGATGCTCAGGAGCAGGTTGAACATCATCGACGATGCTGTGGGGCTGTCTGTGCGAGCCCCTTCTGCGCCACTTTCTAAATCTCCTCGCACGACTATCCTCGATTTGTAACGTGGACTTTCCCACGGTTGCGCTTTGTTATTGTCAACCCACCTAGTGGGCGTGACTTCGATGCCATCATTGTCTCGAAGAAACTGGTCGACATCCTCCGGCTTGATGATCTCCACTGCATCAAACCCTTGCCAATTGCCCCATTCCTTGAGTCGTGCTCCGTCGACTCCTTCTCTCACGTCATCGGGAACCTTGTGATAGTGCAGTTCCTTGGATCGGGCCGCGGCACTCTTCTTGCTGACCCTCCGTGCCAAGAAGCCGTGAAAACCTCTGTCGAACTCCATTGTGGGTCCAGTGGCGAGGAGTCCGCGTGGCGATCTAGACCTCTTCCTGGGCATTCCATCCAAGGCGTCAACGGTCCTGTGTATGGCAGTCTGTAGCTGCGTCAACGTCCGGGTAGGAGCTGCAGTGCCTGGTGCATTCTCGGTGACCATACTGGTACGTCGGCTAGACGGTGCGATCTCCTGTTCTGGTTCATGGACAGATGACGAGCTAGACGACGGCTGTCCTGCAACATTTTCTGGACCCCCTTCGTGTGCGGTCCTAGGCATATTGGCTGTGGCCACGGAAAGTCCAGGTGGTGGTAGATGAGGTTCGCGAATCTCCTGCTCGGCATTTGTAGGAGTATCTAACTCCTCGTCGTCTTGTAGCATCGTCTCCGTCGGAGGTGGTAAAGTCGGTACAACTGTTGGTTGTGGTTGTGCCACGGCTGTTGCTGCGGGCGCCACGGAAAGTCCAGGTGGTGGTAGATGAGGTTCGTGAGTCTCCTGTTCGGCCTCCCTCTGGCCTCTCGAAGAAACCAGGCTGCTCATTTCCCGGTGGTCCTCCAACTCCCACCAGGTCGTCAACGAAGGGCTCCTCATCGTCATTTGCACCTCCCATCTCGGGTGGTGCTCCAGCCTCCATGTCCTCTCGTCTTCGCTTCCTCGAAGGTCGTAGTTCCATGACCCTCTTGGCCAGCATCTCGTTCCCTGTGGCATGTCGGCATTGTTCCACCGACACTGTAAGAGGAACTCCACCATGAACAATCCACAGCGTACCCTTGCCTTCTTGGCCAATCACCCTGGCCGGACCATACCATTTCCACTGTCGATGAGCTCCTTGACGTTTGTAGTAGCAGACGAGGTCGCCCATGAGGTAGGGTCCACGTGTTGGCACGCTCTTCCGGAGAAGAGACGACCTGATCCTCTGTGACGAGTCCACTTGAGCGAACGACTCCCGTGCGGCTCCTCGGACCATCATCTGTTGAGCAAACGCGCTTTCTCCATCGAGAATCTCCTGGTGTGTCCCTAGCCGTGCCTGGCTGTCGAGGTTGGTGAGAGCGTCAATCTCCGGTGGATTGCGTCCCAGCACCCATTGTGCTGGGGAGAAGCCGTTGTGGTTGATGCGGTGGTTCTTGATGCTGACGGCCCCAGTGACGGCAAACTCCATATTCTGTCGTCCTCGCAACTGTCTCGACATGACGGTTGTCTTGATCACCTCCTTGAGGATGCCTCCTTGCCGTTCTCCTCGCCCCAGTTGATATGCACTCTCCACGCCGATGTAGCGTAGGAGGATGCCGTGGGCTTTCACTAGCTGTTGTAGCTTTCCTCGGTTCTCAAGACCTCGGTCAAGGACGATGCTGTCGGGTATGCCAGCCCAGTTGAGCCAGCATGTACTCAGTGCATGGGCCATGTCTCCAGATCCAGGCGGCCCTGCACCTTCTCCGACAATGACGGCCACATGGAAGAGGGTGCCCAGGTCGACAATGGACATCACCTTGTAGCGCCGTCCAATCGCATCCTTCACGACCATCACGTCGAGTGATATCGCCTTGTTAAAGCGGTACTCCTCCGGCATCTTCACGGCTGCTGGTCGCTGCGGCTTCTTCTTCTCCTCACACACCTGGCAACGAAAGTTGTCAAGGCCTCGTATAGCATCTGGATCCGCTCCAGCGGTTCGTAAAAGCCGCTGCATAGCTGATGGCGGTGCGTGGCCGGTCATGTTGCGCAAGCGTCGAAGAGCTACACGGGTAGTGTAAGGGAGTTGCTTCCAGAGTCGCTGCCGGCTTTGCATAGCATGTCCTTCCGGCGAAGGTGGTGGTGGATGTGGTGTCTCCTCATGGATGATCTCCATCTGTTCCTGTTCCTTCTTCTCGGCATAGTCCGGTAAGGTGATATCAGGGGCGCTGATGCCGGGAACGAAATCACCAGGTTCGTGAATTGCATCCAGATTTCCACCAGAGTCTTCCTCATCACTGTCACCAACTTCTTGCTCTGCCTCCGCCGGGAAAGCTGTCATGGAGTAGCAATACTCCAGTTCTCTGACCCAACCACCAATGATGATCTCGCATAGCTGTTTCGGCCACTGCTGTGCTCGTTGACAACGTAGTTTGGAGTCCAGTTGTTGATGTTGGTGGTCGCCTGGGCATCGGCAATGGGCCAGCTCGGTTTTGACGTGGTAGGAAGCGGTGAGAAACCCGGTGGGCTTGAGGTGAGGAAGTCCGTTGAGAGTGTCGCATAGCCCCACACTACATTGGTCCACCTTGACGCACTCCAGCGGCTCCAAGGTGGCACTGTCGGTCAACTGCTTGTTGAAGAGGCCTTGCGACTGCTTGGTGTCCCACATAGCTGAATTCCACGGGTTCTCAACCAGTACATGTCGACCCTTGGAAAGTCGTTGTTCCACTACGCCATACATCCACTTGATCACCGGCTGCCATCTTTTTCTCGTCATCATCACCTTGTTGCGAGCTTCACCTGTCAGCAGGTTCGTCCAAGACGTCCATGGTGTACACACAGGTGCAAAAGAGATGGCGTAGGGGTCGTCCTTCTCGATGAGTGAGTCGACGGCTTGTCTCCCTTCGTAGGTCAAGAGGTCGTAGCCGGTGTTGAGGTCGACAGGGTTGGAGACAGGAAGTCCCCAGTCTTGGTACGCCACCTGTGTCAAGATGGCGGCTCCAGCGAAGATCTCCAGAAGAAAGGTACGACACCCTCGCGGCAGTTCGGCACTCCTTCTGTGCCGGAAAGGGCGGACTTGACTCCATAGGTGTCGATCTCGTGCTCGTACAGCCGCTGTGCCTTCTTTCACCCGTGTGTGCTGTTGCTTGCTCATGACGTGTGGCTGCTCATTGTCCACCGCAAAGTAGCCGATGTCGCATTCCGGCCGTTCCTCCTCCGGGTCCACAATCTCCCAGCCTGTAGAGTCGGTCACGGGAGTAGACACGGTGGTCGTTGTGGTGGCAGGAGGCTCTGGCCCCCCGGATGGTGGTAGATCTGGTGTGTTCTCCGGTTCATCATCGGGAATCTCCGCCAAGTCTCCAGGTAGAAGTCGTATCGCGAGGAGGCCGTCCTTGTACACCAGCTTGAGGTCTTGCCCGAGCGCCTGTGAGTGCACGACCTCTCCGGCCACGTCGATGATCAACCCCAGCGCCTTTTGTGCCTGCACGGATAGAAGTAATGGGGCATCTGAGTCACATAGCTCCGTGCTGTGCAAATCACCCTGGGCCAGTCCTCCATTGACCAGCTCGAGGCACAGGTGGATGTGGCGAGTCCCGTTGGTTCTCACACGTCCATTGATTCCTCGGAAACTTCCGAGGTCATTCTCATCCAGGTTGGGCATGTCCTGGCCGGTGCTGTTCATGTAGCGCTCCAGCCACCTTGATCCATGGCACGTTTGATTACATCCGGTGTCCAGAATAGCCACCAAGTCGCCCTCGGGAAACCCTTCCGCTCCAAATGCCACGAGAGCCATCTGCGGGTTCTCCCGGTGGAAGCCGTTGCGCTCAAGGAAGTATTGCTTCAGCGCCTTCATGCTCGAGTGGCTGTTCTCTCCGATGTTCTGGATCACCCAATTGCGGTAGTTCTCGTCCTGGTAGGCCACGTCGTAGACGGAGTGTTTGTATCGTCCGGCTTCCACAATCTTTTGCCCCCGTGCTTGTAAGTGTCCACGGTGAATCTCCGGGGTGTGGCTGTTGGCGGTGGTTCCGGATGTCGGCATTCTAGGCGGTGTTGTCATAGTCCAGCTACCCGCTCCAGAGGTAGTAGGCGGAGGCGAAGGGTAGCCTGAAGATGCCGACGTAGGAGCGGGCCGAGGCTCGGCCCAGGTGAGGTTGGCTGCTACCGCAAGGTCAAGTTCTTCATGTAGACGTTGCACAGGAACGGTGGCACCCATGTCCGCAGTCCGTTGCTGAATCAACTGCACATAAGTATCCACCACCCTCAGCACCTGCTCGCGTTGCAACTGCACTCCATCATGAGCTGTTCCTGGCCGCGAGGTAGTCAAAGGGGTTGTGGTTGATGCGGTTGCGCCCTCAGCTCCAAGCTTGAACCGCTCACGATATCCACAGGTGAGGCAGGTCCTGATCCGCATCATCCCATTCGACCCTTTCCAGGTCGCAAAATGGTGCTGGCAGGCCGATGTGGTAGAGGTGGATGTCGTCGTAGGCGGCGGTCCAGTGTCCCTTTTCGTACGCGTCAACAGCATACCACAGTCCTTGCACTTCGTTTGGTCGTAGTGGGCATTGGAGCCGGCTGCGGTAACATTTCGATGGGTGCACTCCCACAATTGCACTCGCTCCTGCATCTGGGGTGCTGTCGTAGAGGATCTCGTAGGCGGCGGCATTGCAGCAGTCCTTGGTCCGTGTCCAATTGTAGTAGCGGAAGTCATGGGACCAGGCGGGCTGGTGGTAGATGTCGTTGCCGGCGGTCCGGTAGGCACACGTAGGTCATCTACCGCCAATCGTGTCGAACACCCAGTTGCATTCGTCTCGGAGTCGGGCAGTGGTGCGGCCACGTCAGGTGGGCCCAGCGCCTGCACAAGCTGGTTCCACTCGTGGTCCTCTGTCTCCATGGGCTCCCATATCCCTGCTGATGCTAGTCGCTGCTCCTCCTGGTACTCGTCGTTGGCCACCAAGCTCCAGTGTCCGGGGCTGTCCGGATCTGTGGTTGTCTCCTGTAGGCTGGTCGGTGGTGGCACGGCACGATAGGAGGGTGGCAGCGCCTTCAACTCTTGTGGTGGATCACGTGGTAGGGCAAGGCTGGCAAACGGGTCAGCTTGGGCCTCCTCAAATATGGAAAAGTAGACCGTGCGGGGCTTCGCCGCTCCATGTGGCTTGCCCTTTCCGCCCGAAGGCGGCGAAGTGCTCGTTGTGCTCGTAGGGGATTTTCCCTTGCCACCCTTGGGTTTGCCCTTGCCCTTCTGTAGCGGGCAAACTGCATCTCCACTCCAGTGCCCTACGGCACCGCAGCGCTTGCACGTGGTGCGGGCCTTCAAAGCCTGTAGCTTCGCCTTCTTCTCGTCGAGG